ACCATCCTGATCTTGAAAGCTCGCAAGATCAGGATGGTCTCACGAGGCTAATAGTTCATAGCTCTGGCCAAAAATCTGAGCCTCAGTTTATCTAAGATCATCATGAAAGTTTAAAGGTCTTTATGTAAATCTATCTGACCATCCTTTAGTAGGTGAGTGTGGCCTAGTGGTTAGGGAATTAGGCTTGATACTGTCATTGGAAAACATGCGGTAATTTCAAAATGTTTTAAATCAGGTTGGATCCGGATTAGCCAGCAGGTGGGTCCGTATACGGACCCTGTTCCGCTAATCCGTGACCTCTGATCTAAGTTTACACCACCTTGACACCCCCTCATACCCCCAAGTGTATGTTTTGTACATTTGTTGAACATCGTGGATAAGTCCTACACATATCTGAAAACAGATACAGCTGTAACCTAGAGTGAAAGTGCTCCTGTTCTTACCGGGGATGATGTGAACTTAATCTCATTAGCAAGTTTCTGATAGTAGATTGCCTCTTCCATGATCTCATGGAAGGATTTCTGTTGACTGAGGAAATGCTGCACCTTCTCCTCTGCCTTCCCGGTCACCAGCATGGCATACTGGTCATACTGGTGGATGTACTCTTTGGGTCGTATTGTCTCAGCCCAGAAAGCCCTGCGTACCTCCTCCTGCTGGGCTTGTATGATCTCTGGAAGGATGATGGGCTTCAAAGCTTTGCCAAATAAAAATTCTTCCTGAGAGGAAGAAAAAATAGGGAAGAACTCAGGCTTGACTCAAACAATGTCCCCAAGAGCTCCTAATTTTATCAAAATGGTTTGTTTTAGAGTAGTTCATTCAGAGAGGATCATTAAAATAAAAAACAAAACAAAATTAAACTGTGATGTTTTATTTACAGCTAACAGCAGATTTAACCCCTTAAGCCAAGAGGGCCTTAGGAGCAAATTCCAGCTGAAATTACATATGATTAAAGCAAATACATCTCCCAAACTATACAATGGACAGAAAAGCATTAAAAAATATATTTCAGGTGGAAGCACTATTTTAAATGTCATAATGTCTGATTTATAGGTAATTAAACAAAGAAAAAAAAGAAAAAAATAATCCTCGCCAAAATTATTTCCAAAATAAACACTGCAAAACACCATGAAAACCCATTTGAAACTCTGGATGAACCCTCAGACGTTATAGATTCACATCTTGATTATAACTCAATCAAATTTGGAATGAATAAGTTGAAGCATGTTTGTTCCACAAAGGTTTTAGTGGGCAATATGCTTGGCGGAAATTTGATTTTCACAATGTCAAAAGAGGCCAAATTATGCAAAAATGCATTTTTCCACTTATAAGAGGGAAACTGGCCAAATATGCTGATTTACATTATTGAAGAGATTCTGCATAAGGCAAAGCTTTTGCTCCTAAGATTTAGCCGTATGTTCATTGAAATTTATCACTGAACACACAATAATAACCAAACTGAATAGAAAATAAAAATAACAGTGCAAGCTTATGAAACA